TCATAATGGAAAGCTGCTCCAGTTCATGGAGAGGTGCAAGGTACGATGCCTATGGAAAAATCAAAGAAAAGTCGGTGAGGGATAATTCGCTTCTGTATCATTTAAAAGGAGATTAGTGCTGAACATGTAAGGGAACAATTACTTCATTAAGATCCCTTATCTCATTTTCTGCCAGCGAAAGAATGGATAATTGGGCAGGTAGATGAACAGGCACAGTCCGTAGTGTTGTAATGCTGTTTCCATGGAGTAACAGTGTCTGCAAAATGGACAGGAAATGTATCAAAGAATACATTTGTTTTCAGAAAAGAATAGCACTGATCTGTGATTTAGTTTGTTTAATGCTCACTGTTGAACTTAGTGACCCCAGCGCTCACCTTTAATGCCACCAGTTTAGTCATATCACCAATGGTGGATATGTTATTGTCAGACAGATCCAGATGTTGAAGAGAAACACAGTTGTTGAGTTGCTCAATGACCTGTGTAAAAGGGTGTACAGTCAGTTAAAATATTTAATAACCCATAAGCTGAAACTAATTGTTCGATCTATGAAATGACATTATTGTGAATACATTAGATGCAGTATCTATCACTCTGTCTCACTCACCTTAATATTGTTCCCTGACAGGTTTAGCCATTTAAGGTTTGGCATGTCTCTTAGCCCCTCGATATATCCAATACTGTTATTTGGAAGATTGAGGACTGTCAACTCTGTTAGCCGAGACACACCCATCATTCTCACCAGGCGATTACTGGCTACAGATAGCTAAAGGGGAAAATACAAATATGGTACAAAATGCATTCAATCAAAAACATTTACTTAGATTTATCCACCGAGTCATCAGTAAGTTCACTTTAAGCTTGTAAATGTAGATAGTAAAACCAAGCAAAGGGTTTAAAAGTGTAATTACCTGCTGAAGGCCAGGGCTCCTTTCCAGATAGTCCAGTTTCATTATTTGGTTACGGTCCAGGATGAGAGTGTGAGTCTCCTCGGAGCAGATTAAATCAGGATCCAGCTTTTGCATTCCGCGTGCTGAAAGATCCACCACAGGTCCTTGTAGGAGCAAATAAAGTGGAGATTAGACAGACTGAGACACCACAACAACTTTTATTTCCTAATCCCCTTTGGCTACAAAACACACAACATTAAATTCAGATTAGACTCCACTTTCCTTCTTCAGAGTGCAGGTACTTGAGCATCCAAATACTGTGGAGATGCATGTTAGCTAAGATAACTCGAGTTTAGTTTCTATTTTATGTTGTTGTTAATTCATGTGCAATGCCTTGTTTACAAGCTAACAAAACAGCTTCCCAAATTGGGAGCAACAAAGTAAATCTCATCAAATCTAATATACAGTATGTACAGTAAACAATTGCAGCAGTTACAGCAGGTAGTTCAAGTAAAAGTATAAACTATATAGTGCCGAATGTAATTACGAGAAATACAAACAGTAGAAATTATAGAATGACAAGTATGGCAAAGATAATAAGTCATTATTTCGTCTTTCACTATTTAGCTAACGTTACCTAGACAACTTGCAGAACATTAGCACAACACAGTGAGTTAGCCTGATATTTATGCTTTGTTAATCTTTCCTACAAGACTATATGTAAGCCTGTCAATAGAGGATTGACACATGCTGTTTTGATCAGCATCATCAGATGCAACGTTAGTGACGTTAGCTTACTGCAGTGCAGGAATCTGTGGAGATACATGCTAGCTAAGCTAACGTTGGGTTGCTAATAATAAACCTTCTCACAAGGGCTAGCGTTACACAAACAAATAACCATCGCTTTTTGTCTGACGAAACCAATAACATAGCCACTTACCAGCATTTGTGTCGATTTGTAAATCTGATACCCCCATCCTGTCGCATCAGGCAACACCTAATGTTATCTAAAAACTATACCAGCTACTACAGTCTGGTGTGAAAGACAAGAGGCGCCTGTCGCTTGTCAAACGGTTCAAACCAAGGAGGTTAGGGGAATTGTAGTCCAGACAAGACACATCGCTCGTTTGGAGTGTGGTCTCTGTCGCTTGAGAAGACTACACAAATCGTCATTTCCTACCGCCAACAAGGTATCATCGAACACAGAAAAAATAATAGCTATTATGACCAAAAACGCCCACGAATTGACGGTGGATATTTAATTGAATGTACATTTAATATTTTTCTAAAATAATTAATTTTGTATTGTTTTATCAAACGAGAAATCTCAACCGCTTGCTAGGCAACCGTCAGATTGTGACGTAAACCCTGCGTAAACCTTGTGATGATTAGCTAACGTGTTCATTTTATTTATTTTTAAAGTAGAAAGCAAAACATTATCAACATGCGTATATCATGTATTAATTATGAACGACACGTCAACTGACTAAAACAAATATTTACCGTTTATTAGTTCATAAATACCAATTCTCCTTCTTACCAATTCCGTTTCCGCCGCCGTCATCTTTCTTTCCGGTTTTGTGCCCTCTCGTAGCCATCATGAAGTGAGTGTACAGAATACTATCAAATGCCATCTCAACGCTTAAATAAACGTTATAACGCTTTTATATACATTAACCCGTACGGTGTACCCTTTTCTTTTAGTGATGCCTTGTATTTCTTGTTTTCAGGGTCGAGTTGTGCAGTTTCAGCGGGTATAAAATATATCCCGGCCATGGCCGCCGATACGCCAGGATAGATGGAAAGGTACGTTAACCATTCAACACGAAACCGGTTTCCAGCTGCCTTGCCATAGATACGGTGTGAAGTAAAATTCGTCGCATTTGAACTTTTATTTTTGCTGTCTTTGTCGCCCAATATTAGAGTTTATAACCTAGCAACACTGCCTGGAGTATAGTAGGCCCAGTCGGCTACATTGAGTGCTATGAAACATGCTAGCTTTAGCTGCTAGCGTTAACTGATGGCGCTACAGCATAGTAACATAACAATGTACTAATTCTGTTAATGTGCCGCTTTTTTGTCGGTCTGAGGCGGCTGTGTTGTTGTTGTGTTCATTCAGAACAGTTGTAGAGCTTGGAAATGTTGATAACATAAGTGACATAACTGTCACTACTTGCATGTTGTATGCAACACAGGGATTTTTAATTTGGCTTTACAAAACCATATTGATTGATCTGATGATCAGTCTCATTTACTCGTCACTTTGGCTGAGGGTGAACGGTGTGCACGGTGTCGATCTGTGTCATGTGCTGTTGCCTGACTGCGTTTTGCAGGCTGGGCAGGTAAAACTGTAACATTTTTCCTAACAACATCTTTCATCGGTGTGTACGGTCAAATTACAATCACCCCCCGACGAAACTCTCGTGTAGTTTGAGTAAATATCCGTTAATACATACATATTCTTAAGGGGTGACACGCTGTTTTTCCTAAAAGACTAGTATTTATAATTGTATTCACCGTAAGAGGTATGTCAAATTTCCAGTTAACATATAATATAAGTACACTTCGTAGGACACGTACGGTAAAGGAAAAACAATTTCGTGATTCTTCACGGTAAAGAACATACTTCTACGGAAAATTATTAAAGGACCCACATATCATGTATCACGACGTTAAGGAATTTGTAATGGCTATGGTATCACTGTCCAACCTACCGATTCCATCAATCCTCACGAAGTTTAGGAGTTCCGTTACTCTTTCAATGGTTGTGACGTACAAATTCTGATCTTAAAATTTCCAACCTCAAGTGCTATAAAATTTCATCGTCGTAAATTTGTATAAAGATTCTTTGCAACATCTATCCGCGCACTTAGTACACCAGTAACTTAGTCTGCCTGTGTATTATGTCAGACTCAACTCGTTACTACGATAGTACATCACTCTTAAACCTCCGACCGTTTACCTCTTTTACAGTAAAATTCTGCAGTTCCTGGTCATGATACTGAGGACACGAGATACCGAACGTCCAACACCCTCNTAAGAAACAACTATAAATAAACTGCCCTTATTAAAGCACAACTCAACCTCTTACAACCTCTCCATTATGTTGTAAGCAAAAGCGAAAATGTCTATCATAACAACATGACATCATGATTTGTTGCAGGGTTACTGTATTATAGGCTGCTGCATTAGTTTAGGTACATTTAACTTATAAACTCAGTCATGTTTGAATTGACAAGAACTTAAATGTCTGCGTCTCAAATCTGAGGATGGGCTTGTTACCTCTGTTTTGTATCATTATATACTTAAGCAATAGCTCACGACAGGCCGTGGTATATGCTCATTATATCACAGCTAAGGGGCGTGGTTCGGCCCGACGCGATGCAGGCAGTTTGCTTTTCAGCCCAACGGTATACTTTTTTTGCTCAGACGCGGAGGGATACTGACTTGTGAAAAGTAACTGACAATTCTACCCGTGGTATACGCTCAGTATATCACGGCTAAGAACCAATCAGATTGCTTGATTTGACTTGTCCGTTTTATAATCAATATTTTGCGTTTGGGGCTGTTATTTGTGTCTCTCTTTTGATTTGACAATCAAAAGAGAGACACAAATAACAGCCCCAAACGCAAAATATTGATTATAAAACGGACAAGTCAAATCAAGCAATCTGATTGGTTCTTAGCCGTGATATNTATTCCTTCTGCCATATATTTATGTATATTTAAGCAATAGCTCACGACAGGCCGTGGTATATGCTCATATATGAGCGTATATGCTCAGCGGAGGGTCGACAGTTTGTTTCCAGCCCAACTGTATACTGTTTGTCTCAGGCGCGGAGGGATACTGACTTGTTGTGAAAAGTAACTTACAATTCTACCCGTGGTATACGCTCAGTATATCACGGCTAAGAACCAATCAGATTGCTTGATTTGACTTGTCCGTTTTATAAATATATATATTTGTATATATAATACCTTGTTAAATTCAACATGTATATTTTCTACTTTCTTGATTATTTCTAGTCTTTGAATTTGTATTGTATTGTACATTGTCTTCTTACGCTGCTGCAACACAAACATTTCCCAAATTGGGATCAATAAAGTACTCTCTTATCTAATCTGATCTGAATTGTATTGATCACGACTCACCTTCTTGTTGTACGGGTTGGAGATAACCAAAAAGGTGTCGTCTGACCCCGACAAGAGATATTCACCCGTGTCGCTCCACGATATAGTGTTGACCTGCAGAGACACAAGGACTCAGAATGAGATATCGACTTTGCATTTTAAATTAGCGCCGAAAGGATGTGTTTATAAATAACAATTCTACAGGCAGGAAATGAAACATTGCATTGGTGTATTTGTATTTACAGTACCAGCTGGCTTCAGCATGGTCACTTTTCTTAAAAACAAATATACTGATACTTTTCACCATGGTGTACTTATGTGCTATTTTTAGTTTGTGTACTTATTGTGTTATCAATAACGTGTGCATACTTAGCAATTTACTTTAAAGAATCCGCACTTAACCGCACTATCTGCTGTTGTAATAATGTAAATGTTCCCGTTGCATGACAAATAAAGGATTTAGGGAATGTAAGGAGGTCATAAGATGATTATGAAGGAAGGAAAAACTCCAAATGATGAGTCGAGGGTCTAATTTCTTTGTGACTAAATTACATTGATTTACAAGTTCGTTAACATTCAACTAAATGAAATCACGGTCGCACATTTGACCTAATCCTTATCCGTCCATTAATTTAAAAGGAGAGTTTAACAGCATTGAGGCCACGGCTGTGGATCGATATTTCATCACCACCTGCTCCAGAGTTTCATCAGCACTGTGTTGCTCTTCATTTCCAGAATCACTCTGCTGCAATCAGTGAAATGACACTCCTCCTCCGCCACACCCTGCAATCTGAACCCAGGGCTCGCCCTTGCAATACATTTTAAAAACACCTTTCGATCGATTCTGATCCTCTGAAGTAAAAGGATTTTAGATTGGGAGTAAAGGGCGGAGTTGAATCTGTCTTGGTGTCTCATTTGATGAAAGGTTCGGACAGAATATCATTGAGCTTTGTTTCAACACACGTCTGAGTATCTTGTGTTATCATACTGTAGGTGCCTCGTTGTAGTTAAACGGCCTTTTTATGCTCTTCCCTTTCCTCTAGACCAGGGGGGTCAAACTCAAATACACAGTGGGTCAAAATAAAGAAATGGGTACTAGTCGAGGGCCGGACTGGTTCAATGCTTATTACAGAACTTATTGAAATGAACTTATTGCACATATTAAACCTGGAACTAACAAAGCTTAAATGATTGCCTATAAAAACAACATTAATAATAATAATAATGCATTACATTTTTTATTAGAGCGCTTTTACAGGTGCTCAAAGCGCTCTACAATGACACATTGCCCATATAAAGACAACATTACACATTAAATAATCAGTTGCATTCATTTCTTATGGCTCTATCTGCCGAGTCATTTCTTATGATTACATTTTTCCACAGACCAACAACAGCTTCAACAAAACTATTTCCCTCAAAGAAAAAACCAAACATGGCCCTGTTGTCCTGAGAGAAAAAGTGCAAAAAGGAAACATCCATGTAAACTCAGTGTGCTGCTCTGTGATGCTAGTTCAGATACTTGGCATCTCATCTTGGGTGCAAGGTCATCAATGTTTGGGCTCAGGCTCTGAGCTGAGGAGACCCTCAGGATTGAGGGAAGGTGTGCAATATACCGGCGGGCCAGATCTAATAGTAATTGAAATTATCCTGCGGGCGAAAAATTAAATCCAGCAAGGGCCTGGTTTGGGTTTGACACATGTAGAGTGTGTTAAATAGGTATTTGAGCATGTCAAATATGTAACTTTTTGTATTATTTTTGTAAAATGTGTAACTTCTTTTATTATATATATTTTTTAAATCTTTAGTACTTAAAAAAAAAAAAATGGTATGCATGCTTAGGTAACATTAAGCTGTCTTTGGGTCTTTTCTGCTGTAACAATGTTCATTTCCCCTCTGTGGGACTAATAAAGGGATTGTGATCTGATTCTGATGTAAATGGTAGAAGCACGTAATACAATTATGAACCTGAAAATGAGTCTAATAGGGCCCCTTTAAAACAGAGTGCGAGACAAGTGGAATATTAGCAGGACATTTTTTACATTTAAAAAACACCTGAACATGCCTTTCCTGTGATGGAGCGCCTCAATGGTATCCCAATAAAGAAGCTGTCTAATTACACAATATTTTCGATATCAAGTGTCGATTATTTAGCAAAATTCTCATCAAAATTCTCATTGTGTCTCATATCTTGTCAAAGCACCAAAATTGCAATCTGCACAATATCGAGGAATAGGTCAAAAGTATCTAAATATAAATGTTTGTGCACAGATATGATATTAATAATGCTCCTAAATGATGTGAAAATGTTAAGTTTCATTCAAAAGAACCACAAATCCCCCTCACAGAGACTGACTGATGTCTTCCACGAACGTAAGATACAATGTATAAAAAACAGAAGTCCTTACCATCTTCAGACACATCTATGTTATATTCTAACTACCCTCAAATGTATATTCTTCACCTGTGTCAGCTGTAAATTAACCGCACATCTTTCATTCTTTGATCAACGGAGGCAGGTTTTATTTTGCAACTAATACTTCCTTGTTTTCACTGATTTTGTAATGTTTGGTGCAGCTCTCTCTTGCCCTTCAGCCCACAGCTGACATGTTGGAGGCGTCCAAAAAAAGCCTGGCTGGTATATCCGGTAAACACTCAGAGCGTCCACTTACTGAGCGGAGGCAGCTTATCAGAGAGCAGTTTATCGTGAGCACAACAGAAAATGTATGACAGCTGAACGTGGCTAGTGTCACGACAGCCGAAGGAAATGTGTGGGCATTTATTTGTACGAGAGGTTCCTGTTATCTATCTGGCTGGTGCTCTTTGTATAAGAAATTGAAAGTTTGAAAATACAATATTTAAAAAGGTCCTCTATTATACTGTTTTTCATCAATATATTATAGGTCTCAGATACAAAACATGTCTCTGAAGTGTTTGGCTCCAAACACCAAACAGATCATTGCAGCATTACCCATAATCCCCTCTGTTTCAGCCCCGTTTCAAAAGTGCTGATTCTCTGTCTGTTACTTTAGATGAACATAAGGAGCCCCTCCCCACGCCCCTCTGAGAGATATTTGGTTAGAAAGAACACAATGGTGCTCTAGGAGGAGATTCAGGTGATAAGGTGGGGGGGGGGTTACCTTGGTTGCTGATTGGCTAATGGTTACACAAGCCAAAACATCGTGATGACATCATAAAGTTGTTCCTGAAACTTTCAGAATCTCTTTCCACAGAGGGGACACATGTTGAAGTAGAAGAGACATGAAAACGTGGATTTTGCATAATAGGTGGTCTTTAAGAGAATAACGCCAATGATAATACTACAATTGATTTTTGGATAATTTAGTCTATGAAGTGTCAGAAAACATATGCCCATCCCACTTTCTCACTGTCCAGGGGTAACGTCTTAAAATGTCCTCTCACTAAAACTAAAACAAGGAAAAATGCAATTAGTCACATTAGAGAAGCCAGAAACAGAGAGCCTTGGGAGACAAATGTTCTCACCATAACACCAGAGCCCATAGGACAGCATTTATAAATAATTAGAACAGAGAAAGGGAACTTTAAATTGTCCCGTTTTCAGGGGCTTTAAACAAACATTATTTTTCTGAATATATTTGATTGTATTCAATAAATAAACTCCTTTATCAGAATAAGAATACTTTATTTTACCAGGGAGATATTGGGTTTCGTAAGAGTTAGAATAAATAAAATATGTAAAGATATGTATGTTATAAGATATACAAAGGTGGTTTATTTGATATAAAGATTTGAATGCCTTTTATTGCTAGAAATATACAGTGTAAAGTTCTATTATACATATATTGACTTGCACTATTTCAGCACTGTTGTAAGATTCCCTTTGTCATAACTACACTGTAGCTATGTCCAAATGACAATACAAGCCTTGAATCTTGACTATTGTAAAGTTGAGTAATTGCACATAATCCAATTGATTAATCTACTAATAGCTTCAGTATTAAATGCATGACTTGTCCTGCCTCCATCAGTCCATATTGTCAATGTAGTATATATTCCAGCTTGCCACTACAAGTAGAATACACTCATTTATTTATAACATGCAATGAAACTATCCCTCATATCCTTTTCACTGTGGTGGTTGTTGTTAACAGGAGGCAGGTATTAAAGGAGCTCTCCGGTGGTTGTGGTGTTTTGGACAGAGACGTTGAGGCTGATACTGCGACACCATGTGTGATTTCTGAGGTTTCAGGTTTCTCAGCCGCTCTCTGTCCGACACTTCACAAACTTAACGTGGAAAAGTGTTGTAATGTGTAGGGCTCTCCTTACCAAAGAAACTCTAAGTCAGGGGTGTCAAACTCAATTTCATCACGGGCCACATAAGCCTTATGGTTGCACTCAAAGGGCCGGTGGTAACTATATAAATATACATATATAAATACATAATATATATAAAATAATGTATTATATTATATTATTGCCTCTGCATTGGGTTACTATTGGATAGGGTAATAACTTCGTAATTAACTACGTCTGAAAGCAGAAGTCTAAGGCAAATAATTTCGGTGTGCATTTCACAAAAGGAGATGCATTGTGGGACATGTAGTTTATGGGCAACATGCTTCTGTAAAGTGGCATGTAACCGTATAACTTCTTTGTAAGTTCTTGCGGGCCACATAAAATGAAGTCGCGGGCCGGATAAGTTTGACACCCCTCCTCTAAGTCAACAGCTCTACAATTTTAAAAACGGATGTGTTAAACTGAGTTTCTCCACAAAGAACCGTTGAAAATCGTGCTGCAGGATTCTGGAGAAATATCTAGATTTGACTAATTTAGCAATTGCCATATGTTTTGCGATATTCTAGAGAATTGTCATTTTTCTTTATCCTACTTCTCTACAACATAGTCCACTCAGATGTTTTCACGTATTTTGCTTTTTACCAAATATTGCGCTTCCTGCGATTTAGATATCTCACTTCTCTGTTTTACGATTTTGACTAAATTGTAATGAATTGTGCAGCCCAAAGGCAAAAGCTTTAGATCCTGTGTTGTCCACAGACGTGCTCATGAGTTTAATGGAAACAAGTCATTAAGGATGAAAGCAATGAAAATGAAAAACAACATATGAAAATGTGGGGTACTTACACAGCCATCGTGAACATTCAGTGTCCCTTCAAGCTTAAGTCTCTGGACAAATTCTTTTCTACCTGTGGACAGAAAAGAAAACAATGTAAAATGACATGTTTCTTTATTTCTTCTCATATTCAAAGACAGCCCTATGCTAGATTCATCCAAACATTTCAACTCAATTATATTGTATTGCCCAATATATGTAAAGTACTTAGTTTACAATGAACCAGGATATCTCTGTATTTTAAGGAAATTAAGTGTTTTTTTGCATTAATAACTACTTTAGCAATGAATTGATTATGCATACCAGCTCTTGCAGATCATGTGAACATACCAGGGGCGCAGATAGTGGGGGGGGGTACGTCCCCCCCCAATTTCATAGGGACACTGATCCCCCCCCCCCCCATTTAAATAATAATAATATATATTTATATTAAAAATATATATATTTTAGATTTTTTTATCATTTTTTTCAATATATATATATTTGTTCACATGATCGTCGTTATAAGCATATATATGTGTAATGTATAGATGACTTTTACTTACTGTTAATTGTTATTCCTCTAAATTGTTATTTCCTCAAACGCCTTAATAAATGATCCTTCTTGCACTTAAAGGTAAATAAAACTAATTCATTTGTTAATCCATGTACATACTGGGAATTTGAAAGCAAATATATATTCGAATATTCGACCCCCAAAAAAACGGCTAACCAATTAAACGAAATGTACATATCCTAAAAGAAAGAAAATAAGTGGGAACATTTTTTACAAATAAATAAATAAATACATACATGTTCAAATAAGTATAGAAGAAAACAAATCGTATTAGTCAAATGTATTGAACTGGTGATCACAGTTTGAACAGTTGACAGCTATAGACCTACAGCTTTCATGCTTAAAACATTGAAATGAAAGAGGGATCATACACGAACAACATAACGGGTTAGGGTAACGTAACCCTATTACAACAGAGATCAACAACCAATAACAGGGCCTATGCACAGAATGCAGCTATTCAATACTCATTCTCCTTTAAGAATATGAGCATGTCTACATGCTCAGGGGAGAGGCGTGTGCTGAGGCATTCACAATCAGGCCAGCTGTAGAGAAGACCCTCTCCGCTGGAATTTGGGTATAAGGTAAGGTTTGAGTCTGCGTGATCTGCATGTAGGGACGGGCAGCAGCCATGTCATTAGCTAGAGCTAGCTAGATCTGATGGATTTGGACATAAACGCGAGTGAAGTATAACCGGACGCGAGAGAAAAGAAATCAGCACCAGCAGCTCTGCCCCTGTGAGGGACCGGTGAGCGGAGCAAAACACACCTTTAGACCTAACACACTTAGCTATGGCACTGTCGTATACATTGAATTATTCCATTTGATAATATGTTATCAACTTAGGCACCCTTCCCAATTTTTTTTAAAATAAAACAATTACAATAAAAATATTCATAACTCATACCTGAATAATTTTGAACATTTGAATATTCGATTAATCGTTCCCATCCCTAGTTCATACACACTTACATTGTATTTTATTTGCTGTGTCATGTTTATTTATACTGTTCATGCTCACTGCTTGTAGCACTTTGGGATCTGAAATAAAATATGAAGTGCTTTATAAATGAAACCCATTATTATTATTATTATTATTTGATCTTGAAACAGTTCATATTTGAGCTTACGGTTAAGATTGTAAAACAAATTGTAAGTAAATATCGTGAAAATAATTTCTCTCAGTTTCGTCGTCCCCCATTTCAGAAACCTCACGTCCTGCGCCCCTGGAACATACCCATGCATCTTTGAACTTTACTTCACTTTAGTTAGGCGCAATACCAACTCTGAGGACTGGTATAAAATATCACATTAAACATTTGGGGTTTCAGTAGCATCATGTGATATGTTCCTCATGCAGGGGAAGCCTTCCTGCACTTGTTGAACAGATAGGGAGACGAGTCAAAGAGACAAAGAAATGACTCGTACATGAGTTTAGGCTCTTAGGAGAATTAGGAGAATATAAAATACACATTAAAGAAAGTCCGATCTGCTTGGAGTTAGCAGCAGGAAAACAATGTACACCTTTCGTTTCTAAAAAGCAGCTTCATGATGAGACGATGTACCGTGAGTCGAGTCATATTTCTTTGACGTCTTTCCTTTCATTTTCACCCTTTGCGTATTCAAGTTTCACGAGTCGTGTACAAAATCTACGTTATGCAATAACTCTACAGGTTTTGTGTCATTGTTTGTTGTTATAAAAGAGACATAATTCAGTGTACTGAAATAAATAAAACTTCATATTTGAGTGGGCTGTTGACACTATTCTCCCACAATGCAATGCACAATGGGACCATGGAGGAGCGGCTCTTAGCGGCTAAAAATGAAAACTACTTGTGGATGAAAAAAAGATGAATTGATTTAAATAAAGTAACTATTTGTAAGTAGCATTTTAAAGTTGCTGTTGTGACCGACATTAGTTGTGTGTCATATTGATTCATCATCAAAGGATCTGCCTCTCTGTCAGTGTTTGGTGCATTTTGAAAATATAACAGTTTAATTGTACCTCAAATAAAGAGGTACAAAAATATGAGTTTGCGTGCATTCATTATTTCAATTTTTAATTGTAAATGTTATGTAAGGGAAACAGCAAGGCCTGAGATGTTGTGCACATATAATAGCTACCTTCATACAAAGTGGGGAACGTTGTTTTCCCATTTTTAAAACATGCGACAGCAGCTGAATATCCGGTCGGGAGCTTTGACTTGCACCGACAGGTTTCATTATGGCTGAAGGAATTAGACAAGCCTGAATTTGTGTGGAGGCATTTCTGTAAAGGAGACACTCCAGCATTCATTTGAACAAGAGCTAATGGACACGATGACATGTTTTTTCAGCACTAATTGTACCTTTAAAGTAACGATACATAGTTGGAGTTTGGCCTGTTAGACATGGGAATAGAGAGTAAATGGTGGCTGGCACGCCCACAGTTTAAAGCATCAGACATGAGAATAAGAACAAAAGCTGTGCGGTGTAGTTCTGTGGACGGGGGCCGCAGCGAAATATATTTCAAACAGAGCTTTCCGGGGGAGCTGAAGCTAGTATCTTTGCTCTCTTTAAAGCCACCAGACTCCACTGACAAAGACAGTCATTTTGATCTGCAGAATATTGAAGTTGCTGCTTCGACCGGTTAGTTAGTCAGAGTTATTGTGTTACTTTTGTAAAAGTCAAACCGACCGTTAAAAGACAACAACATGATACAAAATCAAACAAACTAATAGATCATGGCAGCGGTGAAACCAACAGCTTGTGTGTTCTGCAAGGTCATCATTTATGTCTTTCTCAATGAAGTCTGGTGGCTTTGACAAGAGCATGGACAGATACGTTAGGAGGGTGTTTTTCTTGGTGGTTAAATAGATGATGCCGCTGCCTTAGACCCATCGCTGTACATTGCTTCGCCTCCATGCCCAAAGTCTTTGTGTTTTCCAAACTGGGGGTGAACAGACCCCAATACACTGTCAGTAATACACTAACTATAGACAAGTACTTCATACATCCCCACTTCTAAACTTCTTAATATTCCTTTGAGATCAGAGCAAGCTATGGACGATTTCCTATAACCTCCCAGAAGTGTCCGTGGAATTCGATGTACACCTCTATTCGCTGCCCCCATCCCCCCTACAGGAAGCTAAATATACCCTACAAGAGCTCCACACCATACATCACAGCAAGTTCCCTCTACCCATAACACAATAACAGCTCGAACCATATCTCCTTCAAGCTATATGCAGCCCTGACTAAACCCCAGCGGCACCTGCCCCACCTCTACAGGCTTATAAATCTCCGGTCAACCCCTGTCAGGTGTCGAGTCTTTGACATGCCACATTGCAGACAATAAACCTCTCCGTCTCGCGTGCCAGTGGGTCTGTCCTCCGTGTACACCGTGGTCATGTCGTATTCTCAGGTTGTTCTCTCACAGCCAACTCACAGACACACAGACAGACAGACAGACATCCGAAAAATCTCACTAATGAGGCCTTTCACTGCAAGTAAAGTCAGACTATTGAGTTCCATCGTTTTTCCTTTAAGTTCAAAACATGAATGAATATTTGGGTTCATATTTATGTTTTATTCCTCTACTGTGACATGTCTCCATGCTTTAATGTTCAAAAAGCTCTTTATTCTTCTCATACTGCCTGTGCTGCAGCACCTCTTTTCACCCTCTGTCTGAAACCAGAGCCCAGTCTGCTCTGATTGGTTAGCTGGCTGGCTCTGTTGTGATTGGTGCGCGAGCTTTACATAGTGATGTCACTTGGTTACAGAAGTCCATTTATATGTACAAAAACCTAAAGAAAACACTACAGGAAAAGGGAAAACCCCACAAAGTATAAGAGGGTCCCTTGAAGACCATTTTTATTCCACTGATTTAATAGTAACAGAATAATGCAAGTACACTTTTTCAAAAAGCAAATAATTTATAATTCTTAAAAATATTCAGACATTGTAATTGTAAAATAGTCATTCCTAAATATGAAGAAAATAACATATTAATAAAACTACACAACTGAACAAAATAAATAACATGGAGTGTAGGGCTCTGTTTACAGAGATGTAGCAGGTCTGTGCAATAGCACGATAATGGGAGAGGAAACTTGGTAACTAAAGTGTTGGGGATTTATATAATCAATGCAACGCAGGAAGGAGGTCAGAATGACGATCGAGGTTGTGTCCATATATTGTACGATAAGTCGATAATGTAATTACTGTGACAGGCCCACTTGAGACACTTATAAACACTGGAGTGTCGTAACAAGATATATCAATATTTTTTTAATAAATAGGTATGGAGTCGAGCCAGTACTATTTATAGTTGATCTGCTACGCTTGTCAAGAGACGCAACCGCCTTCGTCTATTCAATGTGGAAATATTCTATTTTAATAAACAGGTAAACAGTCAGTGGTGTTTTGATATAGTGGCCTGATATTCTGTATAATATTACATTATCTTTACTCCATATTACTTAACTTGCTTCGAATATTCTTGTGTCTGCTTTCATTATCATTCAATTATAACAACAATGAAAATAATCGACAAAAAAATGTTATCATCAATTACTCAATATCAATTTTCCCACCAAAAAAGAAGACAATGCTTCAGACTTGAGAAGTGAATATGGGAGTCTGTGGCTCAGCGGATAGTGCACTGAACTTCGAATCAGGGGATAGCAAGTTCGAGCCCCACTGCAGTCAGCATGTCGTTGTGTCCCTGAGACACTTCACCCCAAATTGCTCCTGTGGGGATTGCCCACTGTACTGAATGTATGTAAGTCGCTTTGGATACATGTAATGTAATGTAATGAATATTTACAAAAGCCTGAGAGCAATTTCTCATAAATTAAAAAGAATAAAACTGCATTCATGTGCAAAACAATGGAGTGTCTGAATGAGGAGATAATATCATTTTGATGTAGCTAATACTTTATGAAAAGCTGCACTATTAAGGATTAGAGCATAATGTGTAATCCTATGTCTCTACTGCTTTAGACTATCACGTATCCGCTTTAAGGGTACATATATGTTGCGTGCCGATTCGATCATATCCAACTCAAAATGTCAGAAACAAACATTTTAAAGCAAGCAAGTCCAAAGTGATGCCTTCAAATATTATTTTGTCAGTCCAAAACCCAGAGAAATGTAGTTTAATATAATAAGAAAAAGGAATTAATGTATACAAATTACAATAATGAGTTACATAAATAAGAATTAAAGAATCAAAATAGTGGATGATAATGTTTCTGTCAACCAACTTATTGATAAATCAGAGATTAGTTCATCATCCATGGAAATGCATCCGTGCTATTGTGCAAAACAATGGACTATCTGAATAAAGGGATCTTTTTTTAAATACGTTTTGCTGTAGCTCATAAAAAGAGAGATGACAAAGGATTACATATAAATGTAATCCTATATTTATAGTCCTTTCATTACAACCTTGACATTAGATCGCATTCAGACTACATGTAGGCTGCAACTACTGAGTATTTTCATTTTCGATTAATCGACCGATTATTTTCTCGACTAATCATCCATAAAATGTCAGAAAAAAAAGGTGAAAATGTAAACACCCAGGTGTGAATACACATGTATATTCAGCTTGTAACGCTAAACAAACAACAGAGGAACGCATGACACTATTTAAAAGGGATTTGAACATAATGTTATATCATTAAAACATAGTGTTATTTGTTTAAAAATACTTCGCCATTATTTATCTGTCAATCAATTAATCGATACGTCGTTGCAGATGGACTTTGCTGTACACCAGCTATGGAAAATGCGTCAACGCTACAGTGCAGAACAATAGAATATAGAGAAGAGAAATGGGATGTTATACATATTACCTAAGGACCATTGAGGATTGTAGAGAATATATACCCCCGTCTTTCCAGTGCTTTAGCTGTAGACTCGCACATCTCCGCTTCAACATGGATCAATTAAATGTCCTGCTGTGTTTACACTTTGCAGAAGCAGTAACTTAGCAGCTTTTATGTTATTAAATATAACCATAGTCATGTTGGGTCTAGCTGTCAGTGCGTGTGATTTAGTGGAGCTATACCTGCATCACACAATGTTAAAAATAAACACATGTTTTTCTTGTCGTCTCTTCTACGTTAGCATCAAAGTGTTTTTGTTTCTTACCTAAATAGTTGCTCCTGATGATGTTGGGCTCGTTGTATCCAATTAAACGTTTATTTACATCCCAAACCAGGTTTCCAGAGTAGGACATCGTGACCATAATATGTGGGGTTTAATTAACAATAACATTGAAACTAAGCTAACCCGTTCCTGTTGATGTCGCCTTGTTATCTGTCGTCTTTGCCACAGAGATCAGTCCCTGTGTGTCGGGACAAAGCTAACGTTAGCTTGCGGTGAGACGACACTCAACGTCCGCATCACTGGAGGTTTAGCCCCGGCCGTTTTGTTGTCTCCGCGGTCCCCCCTGAGTTTACATCCGCTGCCCGCTGCTCTCTGCGCCGCTAACTGTCTGTCCTGCTAGCCTAGCCTGGTGGTTTGATTTCTTCTAGCAGGCAGCGGTCAGCTGTGTCCAAACATCGCGATAAACTGCGGGGTTTGACCAAGAGAGTGGGAGCGCTTGTTTTAGAGAGCAGGAAAGCTGACGAGGGCGGAGTATAATCAGGAAAAGCTCAGAAAGTGTTAAAGCATGAAGCATTATTGAAGAAAAAATAACACAAATCATTAGCCTTATTATTGGCATTAATAGGATAGGACAGTCTAAAAATACCAAGAAGTAAAAAGTCCTGGGTCAAAATGTCAGCCTTAAGTAAAAGTACAGAAGACCTAATCAGGTGTATTGACACAAAGGTGTATTGCATACATTAACATAGTAAGTAAGAGGCAGAAAATGTTATGCAAAGCAAAATGCAAAAACTATGTTTTAGTTCTTTATTGATGAAAGCATCACTTCACTTTTGTTTACACTATCTGTATTTATATTTGTTAAACTGTTAGTTTTTATAAATTGTATTATGACTATAATAATAATAATAGATTTAATTTGTTAGCGCTTTTACAGGTGCTCAAAGACGCTTTACAGATATAGTGAAGAGAAAAGAAAAGAAAGGAACAACAAATAAATATATAGTTAAAGTTAAAGTCAAATAATACAAGAGTTTTTTTAAGGTGGTGAGGTCAGTGCAGTCTCTGATACCTCTGATGTGGGAGTGAGTTCCAGAGGGAGGGGGCAGCGACGGAGAAGGCTCTGTCCCCCCAGGTCCGGTGATTGGTGCGGGTGGGGATGGATAGGAGGTTGGCTTCTGATGAGCGGAGGCAGCAGGAGGAAGGGGTGTGGTGGTGCAGCAGGTCTGTGAGGTAAGGGGGGGGCTGATTGTTGAGGGCTTTGTGAGTAATGAGGAGGACTTTGAAGTTGATTCTTTGACGGACGGGGAGCCAGTGGAGGTTCTGGAGGACGGGAGTGATGTGGTCTCGGGAGCGGGTGTGGGTGAGGGTGAGGAGGCGGGCAGCAGAGTTCTGGATATGTTGGAGTTTATTGAGGAGGTTGGATGGTATGCCATAGAGAGGATGCTATTGCAGTAGTCGAGTCGTGAAGTGATGAATGCATGAATCAGGGTTTCAGCAGCAGAGGAGGAGAGTGATGGGCGGAAACGGGCAATGTTTTTGAGGTGGAAAAAGGCGGACAGATGACATGACCCTATGACAGACCCTTTAATTTAATACCATCTTTGTAAGGCAAGGCAAGGCAAGTTTATTTATATAGCACTTTTCAACACAAGGCAATTCAAAGTGCTTTACAAAAAATGAAAGACATTAAGAAAATGGCAGACATTAGAGAAAATGGCATTTAAAATCAGTCATTAAAAATAAAAGTTAATAAAATAAACATTAAAAGAAAAAATACATGGATAAAAGTTACAGTGCAGTCTAAGATATGAATAGTTCAATTAAAAGCAGCGACAAAAAGAAAAGTCTTCAGCCTGGATTTAAAAGTAGTCAGAGTTGCAGCGGACCTGCAGGTTTCTGGGAGTTTGTTCCAGATATTTGGAGCATGAACTGAATAACTGCTTTACCATGTTTAGTTCTGACTCTGGGGACAGAAAGCTGACCCGTCCCTGAAGACCTGAGAGATCTGGATGGTTCATAATTTAGCAGGATGTCAGAAATGTATTTTGGGCCTAAACCATTCAGTGCTTTATAAACCAGCAGCAGTATTTTTGAAATCTATTCTTTGACACACAGGAAGCCAGTGTAAAGACTTCAGAACAGGAGTGATGTGATCCACTTTCTTAGTGTTAGTGAGGACTCGAGCAGCGGCGTTCTGAATCAGCTGCAGCTTTCTAGGCTCGTAGCCTTTTAGAATCAGAATCAGAATTCCTTAATTTACATTGTAACAGCAGTATAGATAGAGATGAAAAATAAATATAACACACTATTAGATAACAAAAAAGGCATGCACATAGTATTTAAAATAAAATATAATTATTATCTCTGGCGTCTCACATTCTGTATTTAAAAATAAGTAAATTAAATAAACCAGTGGGGCACATTAATGCAGGGTATAACAGTTGGCTACTTGGTGGTTATACAGCAAAGTGAACAGTTGTAAATGCCTTTTTATTTAAAGTGTAAATACAATTAAACGGATTGTTTGGTATACAGCTGGTTTTTAGACTTTTCCTCTTTGTAGACTAGTCCTCTGAAGAAAGGACTGGATTAACCTGTTGGGGCTGTTGTGCGTTGTAAGAGGGCCAGAATATCAGGTTATAACCACAGAACCCGCTGAAATCGTACTTTATTACAGGTTTTACAGCCTCAATGAAATCATACTTCAAAGTTAAGCAATACAATAACTTATCTGCATATCATAATATAACAACACAAACTTTTGCAAGGAAAACCCTGGATCATCATTCAAATCTTATGTTGATATTTTAAAGAACAAGATAAATATATAAGGAAAACATCTAATAGACATATTTAAAATTCTAGGGTAAGTGTTTTGTTGGATAACAAATATGATATTCTAGAAATGTTAAAGTAAAAAAGAAATTGTAAACAATATTATTAATAAAAAACGATTCATGGCAGTGGGGTCTGTGACTATAACTTTGAGAATTAATGTTATGTGTTGTTGAGGGCTTTTGCAAACCAGAACCGACTACACTATTTTATTTGTCTACTTAATTACTTGTTAACGCGTTGATTCATATCCACCCAGTCGAGCCACGCCGTGCAGGAAAAGTAGCAATCCTTTCTAAACCAACCATACCGGGATTCTGACCGGACCGACCAATGAGGACAGAGGAAACATGTAGCCCCGCCCCTCGCGAGGTTGGTAGGTTGCACCGTGCAGAAAGTCACCTCGTCGGTCAGACAGAAGCTAGCGGCGCTAACATGCTCACAGTGTTTCCTAGGGAAGGTCGAAAGTAGGATAGCGTCATCCATTCATATCCTTCAAGCTTCCTGCTATCAATTTACTGGACACCATCCTCCAAGTGAACAAAGGAACACTTTTATTTTAAAAAGTCTGTGGCTTTTTAAAGAAAGATCCTTAGCTTCCTCACCTCTTTAGCGAGCTAGCTTCTGTCAGTTTCCCAATACAGTCATGGCTGCACTGAGAGCCTCCTATCACCGGATTTTGGACAAGATCGAGCACAAACTGCCCGCAAAACTGAGACCCCTGTACAACCACCCAGCAGGTAATGTAGAGTTTATTATCCGGCTGTTTGGTTAGAGGACTGGGTCTGTGTTTGTATGTACGCATCTCCATAATCCTTCATCAAACATCAGCTCTGCTTGTACCTGATGTTAGACTGTATTGAGGTCATTGTTTTGATGGGAGAGCAGCTCAGTCTGTGAACAACAGCTGGGTTTATGACAGGAAAAGTATGAAGTTTATTGTGGTATTAAGTTGTGTATTTCTGAGGTACCACAACAAAGTATACTGGATCTTATGTAAGGGTGCTAATACATGTTGGAAGGTCTTTTAGGATTATATATTGTGCCAAACAACAGATGCAGTGTACAAATATCACTTATTTTAAACGTTATGATAACAGTGTTTCTACTTTTGTACATTTAAAATATAACTAGATCAGTTCCGTGTTCAAGAGGCTACATTTCTTAATTTAACCCCATATTTTAGTTTTTCTTATTTAATTTAAACGTTGTTTTTAGTTATCTTTATTTACACGGTATGGTTGATTGTAGTGAGCCACCAAAAACAGGAAGAAATAAACCACTTTAAATGTTAAAAAAAATATACAAAAATCTACTTACATTTTAGCCACTTGCATGTTATTGTCATCAGAATAACTAAAGTAGTTGACCCAAAACATTGACAATGACTGTTTATAGTCTCGTCTCATGATGATGAAGTAATTATTAAACAGTTGAATCTTATCTTATGTTCATATTAAAGATATCATTAACTATAACTGGGCTGCAGCTTCCAATTATTAAGATAAGATTAGAGCCTTTATTGAGCCCTAGAGGGAACAAGTGGTTTCGCAGCAGCAGAGTATGCATTCATAGATCAAGCAAATCAATAACCTAACCCTAACCCTGGTACACAAAACTAAAATAGACTAAACGATACAAAAGCGATTTGAATACAAAAACAAAACAAAATGTACAAAATCAAGGAAACACAGTGGTGTGTAAAGTCACACAGTTTATAGCATATTATAAAATGATATAGTATCAATCTGTGTACAGGCTTTCTGTTTGCTTTCTTCGGTCCAGAGCACTATAACACATTAACTACCAGAGAGAAAGCAGCTAATATTCACATTTTAAAAAGCTGAATTAAATGATTATTGCTTGATTAGATTTCTTTGTATTGTAAAAATGTTTACCAAATAAATCCCTGGCTTAATACACTTATTGTTGTACATCTAATCATGATTCAGCATAATGAATGTGTGTTAGTTTCATTATATAACATTGTACATTGAAGGAACAGTTAAAAAAGTTATAATACAGAAACCCTGTAATAATCCTTGAAGCTTGTCAACTAGGTCAAACTTATTATTGTAAAAACCCCTCTCAGTATAATGCAAAACGATTAACATCACCACAAACAGTCACTCTGCTCTATATCAGCCTGAGCTAAACACTATAACCTTCATGGAAGTGGGATTTGTTGCATTAGACTTCATTATGTTTGGATAGGAATATATAACACATTCAGCGTGTTGCACTTGCACACACATTCAGATCTGTTAAAACCTGACCTTAACTACAGAGATTAAGAAATCAGTCTGTGCGTCACAGGGACAGACTGATCTCCGTTGTGTCTGTGAGGCTAATGCAGAACTCGTTGTCAAGGACAGTTTTCAGAGCAGGTATGAAGGGGCGGAGACCGAACCACTCCCCCCCCCCCTCTGTGATGATTTACAGGCACAAGACGTCTAACTTTGTGTTTAGCCTGCAGCATGAATATGAGGGCAGATCATGGCAGAGTCCAGACCTGCAGCTCTTTATGCTCCTGTGAATTTGACCTTTCATAAGTTAATTAAGTTTATGCGAGTCCCACACAGATGGTTAGTTTACAAAAAACTAATATTATAAGTGGTGATATCACAAGTTTGGAAACCTGGTAGGAGGATTAGCTACACTAGGGAGGAAGTGTCCCTTAACTCTTAAGTCTTACTATATTATTTGTACATCAACGCTTATACATGACCTTCCCTATTTCATATTGTTTATTCATATGTCCTGGTATGGTATCCACCGGAAGATATGATATGTTGTTTTATTGCAATATTTTGCTGTCCTTAAGTTTATTGCCGTGTTGAATATCAGGTTTGTTTGGAATTGCTTATTGTTGTAAAGCAAAATATAGAGACCTAGTTCAGGTTGTTCCAAAAACAATGCCATCGTGTATCTGACACTCTGGCCTGACTCCAAACTCCAGGAGAAAGTTTAACTGTGAAATCCCACCGAATAATTCAACATCCACTGTGGCCCAAATGTCACGTTTCCATCTTGCTTTGTTTGTATTTCAGGTCCAAAGACAGTGTTTTTCTGGGCTCCAGTGTTTAAATGGGTAAGTGCATTAATCACAGGTTATATCAGTTCAAAGTTCAAACCATGCGTTATGTGTTGGTACTTGAATACTTTCAGGGGCCTGAAGATGATCTTATAAAGTAAACCGTTCAGAAGAAAATCCTCATACGTTTGTACTGCAGACATGTGTGTTTCTGCTCTCCTGTGCTGCTATTTATATCCCAACTCAATTGGGGTCAAGCACCAAACACGCCATCATTGTATAATATATAGTCTTATCAAATACAAATGATATGTTAACATACAGTGAATACATACAACATGTTCTCTTTCCTCTGCAGGGTCTGGTTGGAGCTGGTCTGGCTGATATGAGTCGGCCAGCAGACAAACTCAGTCTCTCCCAGTCTGGAGTGCTGACAGCCACAGGTAACAATACATCCATTTTATTATGAACTACACATGGAGACATAACCATTATTAAGCCTCTTTGTGTGCAATGTCTCAGTTTGCAACATCCATTGTTTAAAAAAGAGATAGTGTGATCTAGGGAAAAGTAACAGAAAAGGTAGCAGCATGAAATCAGCATTTCAAGATTCAAATGAATTTAATCTGTCCTGTTTTTATAAGTAAAGTATATACCTTACAGACATCATGGTCCTGGTAATGTGTACGTTAATTTAAAGTCAATCATATTAATACGTTTTTCGAATACGAGCTGTGAATTCGGTCAGTGCATTTATCAAAACGATCAGTTCAGTGTTCAGAGAATGTGATCAATGTGTGCTAAAGGTTGTCTGATGCTTCTGCTGTTGCAATATGTCTCTTCAAACAACTCTTATCTGTCACTGCTTTGCTAACACACAGGCTGTTTCCATCAGTGGTGTGCATAACCTTCACTCCCCTGTCCCTCCACCAGGCCTGATCTGGTCCAGATACTCGCTGGTGATCACCCCGAAGAACTGGAACCTGTTTTGTGTCAACTTCTTCCTCGGCGCCGCAGGATCCTCCCAGCTCTACCGGATCTGGAGGTTTGTGTTGTTGTGCTTAACTTAAAGGGGCCTTATCTCGGGTAATACCAATCTAATGATCAATACGTGATAAGCGCACAGTAGCACTAGTGGTCAATTCATTCCTTGCCTATTGCTGATTATAAAACATGGCCACAAGTTAATGTTTCGGTGCACTGCAGCTGATTCAGTAGTGAAGGTATAACATACACTAGCTGTCATGTGTGCTTTGTTTCTATGTCAACAATTAACTGAACTCCTGAGGGGGGATGAGAAGAAACATTTTCCATAAAGAGTAGAAATCATGTTGAATGCTGGCTATGAAATCATTACCTCAAACTAATTAAAAGTCCTGGAGAACAAGCTAAAGATAAAACATTGAATATAAAATAAATACTATAATATTAATCCTAAAGAGGAAATATGCACATTTTCAGGTTCATATCAGTATGTAGTGCCTCTCCTGGGACATGTCTAAAGCTTTAATGTTCAACAAGCTCTTTATTTTCCTCATACTAGCCTGTGCTGCAGCACCTCTTTTCACCCTCTGTCTGAAACCAGAGCCCAGTCTGCTCTGATTGGTTAGCTGGCCGGCTCTGTTGTGATTGGTCAACCGCTTAGAGACGTCCCTCTCCTTAGCCTATAATGTGTTGGAGCGCTAGCCAATAGAAGCGCAAGTGTTGCATAGTGATTTCACTATTTTACTAAAGTAAACAAAGGAGTCCAATGGAGGTGTCTCAGGCAGAGAGAAACTCCCTCTGGAGGAACATGCACAGAAACCTATAAACAAACTAGGGCTGTGAAATTAATCGTATTTTAACCGCAAATACGATTTTGGCCTGCCACAATTACGAAAACAACATAATCGGAAAAAAATATTATTTTGCTTTGCTAGGTTGTGACAGTGCACTGCAACATATTTGATCTAATTTATTTTAGTCTAACGGTAAGGTTAGGCAGGCACCGTAAGTTGCTATGGAAACAGAATGCTGAGAGAAACGATTTTCAACGGTTCTCTCGCTTAGTTTTTAGCTGGTTAACAAACAAAACACACTTTAATTTCTCACAACTTCTACTTTATCATTTGTTTCCTCATAGGTTCCACCAGGATAAGAAGGCAGAGGATAAGAAGGCAGAGGAGGAAAAGGCGCAAAAGGCCCTCGAGGCTCCGGAGTCCTGAGAGCTTCATCCTGATGCCACGCTGCGCTTCCTTCAGGGGACTGAAGCGGAGACTTCACTCCCCTCCATCATCTCCTCGTCGTCCCGTGTTAACACCCTGCCATAACCCTCCTTATACCACATTACGCCTGTCCCTGTTGGAAATGTGCACTTTCCCTCAAGTTTCACATTTCCTCAGGTTTTAAAAAAACAAAGAAGACAGACATTTTTTTTTTAACTGTAGTCAACACACAATCAAGAAATGTGGTCATTAACGCACAAGTTACCCACTTGTTAAACAACTTATGATTGTACATTCTTGAATTTAAGTTCATGCTTTATGTCTCGTGCACTACTTGGGAAGTTTTTGCATTTTTAACACCATTTTTTTTACGAGTAGCAATCAGTACCTCATGCAATCATTTCCCAAAAAATGTAACTCTTCGGGTTTGTGTTGAACGTAGTTTAAAGGGATGTGTTCTCCAAATGAAATTAAGGATTCATCACAGTAACCTCTCCATTTACCTATTTATAATTAGATTGCAGTTGTTGCATCTGTACCTCAGTGATTATTAGGTCAATTTTGATTACCATGTAATGATTCCTTCCATTTTAATGGCTTTTAATCTGTGTGAGCAAATCATTATTTATTAATCACTTGATGAAAACAAATATCTCTAGCTGTATAGAGAGATTGCTGTTATTTTCTGATTATTTATCAGGACTGCTTGAACCAATGCCACATATTTAACCTGTGCAACTTTTTATTGATTGTTACAGAGTCGACTAGCACCACTGAAATGCTATCGGCTCTTTATCAGAACAAGGTGTTATATATATATTTTTTAACTATAGTGTTTTATTTGACACGTTTCTACTATAGTTAAAATTATAAATTTTAATCCCCTGAATATTTGAGCAATAACTGGTGTCATCACTTTAAAATATGTCTGTATCTGCTGACTGTTTGAACAAATGGCACTTTGACGGTCGGTCATACTATGTCCTCCTAATAAAGCCTCTTTAACACCTGCCGTATTCACATCTCGTACATATTAGGCGACTGAAGCCAAAGTGGGGAGAGCTTTAAAGATTAGTTGATCTAAAGGTCAACCTTAATCTACAGGATTAGTTAAATACAAGTAGTCAAACATGTCTTCAGTAGAGATGCAGCTGATTCTTTTAATTATTGATAAATCTGCTTACTTTCATGATTCATGTTTGTCTTTAAAAGAAAAACTAAGGGCCATCGCAGTTTCTGAAGGCAAGTGGATCATTTAAGTAGTTTTAAAATGTGTTGTCAAACAAAAATATTCTATAGTATATCGTTTTTAAATAATTTCAAAAAACGGACGAGCACCTAAGAAAATCAGTTGCAAGGTGCTTGTGAATCGTTTTTCTGGAATTTTACCCATTAAAATGAATCATTTGATTATCTTGGCCACCATTTTTAAATCTCAAACCCACTTACATATAATTGATAGAAAACCTCCATAAACTGTTTTGTTAAAAGTCTAGGCAAATCTTAAATGTCACTTATCTTTTTGGTAGACTTAAAATGTTAAAACCAGCAAACAAAAACATGCATTTTGTAGATGTGCCCCGAAACAGATTTTGATCTAAACATTTGAAGCCCTAAAAATATACATCGCCACTGGTGTAATTTAAAGTCAACTGTTCAGGTGAAAGGCTTTAAACAGATGTGCGTCTCTAGCTATGTGATTATTTCTAGTGTAAACCATTAACCTTTATTACAGCCCCAGTGCTTTCAGAGCAGTTTACAGCTAACGTCAGATAATATGAAACGTTGTCGCCCTCTGCTGCTCACTGTCAGCACTACAGTTGCACAATGTAGATTATTCCCAGCAGCTAAAGTACCGCATACATCTAAACCTTTGCACAATGACAATCTTATTGCCTTAAGAATGTTCTGGTCTTCCCAATTACAGTATATGTAAATTGTAGTAGCTTGGGGACTGTTAAGCATCAGTTGAATTCAGTGGTTTGATACCGGCTTACAGCAGAGGGATCATTAGATTAAAATAGGCAGATTATGGTTCGGTGGAGCTGGATGACCTCATAACCCCTTTGTCCCTATACATGTCATGATTTTATTCCCCAAGACTACGTTTAGCAAGAAAGGAAAATTCTGTTCTGAGATCTGTCCCGTACATACTTTGGTGTTTAACATTACAACTTTTAATTTCACAATTTTCTCATAGGTATAGCCAGGATTTTTGATAAAAGAAAAATCACAAATATGTTGGTTAAACAAAAATGTTTTATTCACAACGCAAATGAAACGGGTTTAGCGTTTTCCACCGACACGGGGTGCGTTGATCTTCATCGTCTTGGCGACCTTGGGCTTCTGTGCAGTCTTGGCAGCCGACTACAGAAAGAAATACAGAAAATAGTTACAAATCCTCATAAAACATAAGGTTGCTCAATAATCAAGTGAATACTAGGGAGCAGGCAAACAATATCTTAACTATGTGATTCATAACTTTGAAACAACATGGCTTCCAACATATATTGATGAAGGCAAATAACTAAAAACAGCTCTATCTGTATGGCTTCAGATCTTACCTTTGCACTGGCGGCAGCAGGCTTCTTTGTTGCTGCCTTTGCCTTCTTGACCTCCTTGGCAGCCCTGATAGAAACAAGAGAGACAATCAGCCAAACTGAACAAGGAGAATATTTGCATACCATCTTCTGTCATCATGTAATCTTAATATTTGAAGAGATTGCTGAAAATAGATCCAACTAGAGAGATCCAATCACAGCAATAACAACAACAACAACAACGCATTGTCGAAAACAAACAAGTTGTGTCAATAGTTCCAAAATAAGGCAGAGATGTTTTTGTTGACAGGTTTTGATGCTGGTAATTTCCTAGACGACCATTGTACTTCATTGATAAGCGATTCCAGAAGAGCGTTTCAAGCTAAAACAAATGTGCTTTAAGTAATGCTACAGAAATAACCATCAAAACAAAGAGCCAATATTGTTTCTTAAAAAATAAAAACACATTCTAAGAGCAATTCTTTTTTTCCCTCGTCCAATTGAAAGATTGATGACATTAATCAATTTAAATGCTACAACCTACAGAGTTTAACTGACCTCTTCAGAATTGATATAATGTGAGGTTCTTAGATGTCCTTTAAAAGGTTGCAAAATGACAGCTGTTTGCAGGGCTAGCAGGGGCAGATTACCACGAGATGGCCGACAAAAGTTGACTCAAATTCCACAATTATAACTTTGTGATGTCTGTCCTGCTAAAGTGATGACCCCTTCATGTTTAAGTTATTCAGCCTGATTCAAGAGCAACCAAGAAACTGGACTAATCTTAGATAAAAGCATGTTTGTGTCCTCACCTGATGGCCTGCTCCCTCTGGGCCTTGCGGACCTCTGGCTTCTGGTTCCTCTTAGCCATGATCTCGGCCAGGGAGGCCCCAGTGATGGCCCTCTGGAACTTCACTGCACGACGGGTACGCTTCTTTGCGATCTCTTCCTGTTAACACATGACAAAAACCAACATTACCAACATGCCCACTTCTGTTCACTGAACCACCTGAAAAGGATCCTACATAACGAGTAGTTTACATAAAACATGCTGCGTTGAATCAGTAAACCTGCTACCCGATGGAGGTAAAAGCCGTGAACTGAACCACGACACTTTCTGATCATAAACTGCAGTCTACCTCTTTGCAGAAAGTTACCAACACTTGCATGTCTAGACTTTACTTTTAAGCGTTGGAATTCACTATTTTTCAAAATAGCAACATTCAACATATTTCTAAGCAAGTTGTAGAGACCCAATGTGTCATTGAATCAGACGGCACATAATACAGTCTGAGTTGAGAATGATGTAGCATGTAGGAGAATTTGGAGGCTGGCCAATGGAGAAATGTCATTTAAGACGTCAAGGACCAGTACTATGACCTCCTGTTGCTCTGATGGCTGGCGGAGTGTGGAGTGAGCACTGCTGCCCAGCTGCAAAACACGCAGTCAGGCAACCAGCAGCATGACACAGATCGACACCGTGCACACCGTTCACCTCAGCAAAGTGGACGAGTAATGAACCTGATTCCAATCAATATGGTTTTGTAAAGCCAAATTAAAATCCCCTATGTGTTGCACACAACAATGCCAAGTAGTGCCTTTTGAAACTGATAAAAAAGGAATAAGTAACCAGTCCAAATATCCTGCACCAGACTATAACTTGTTCATCCAACAGTGCAGCATTTAGAGCTTTAAAATCCCACCACACACCAGGTGCTGAAACAGTGGAAGCTGTTTTTGAGCAGTGAAGAACT